TCCGGGCCATTTTCCTCGTTATTAATTTACCTCTAATAATAATAATAAATAATAAATAGCATTTGTATAGCGCATATCCCCGCTCAACAGCAGGCTCTATGTGCTTTACACTATACACCTCTGGCACCAGTCGACCCCCATCTAACCTCAATCGCAAATATTTCGACCTCTATTCAAGATACATAGGTTGTTTTGTTTTTTGCTTTTTTTTTGTTCTCATTATACGCAAACCAAATAAACAAGCTATAAGATGGTGCCAATAACTTTAAATTAAGACCCAAAATAATTGACGAACGCCTGATTCTACCGTGTGGTGACACACAACATTGTTACGTCGTTTTTGGTTATTTTGATTTTCTTCTTCCTGATTGTGATGTTGTTTCAAGCTAAAGTTATAGTGGTCGTGATTTCTAGTTTTTTTTTATCTCACGAGTGCACAATAACTCCATTGTTTTAGGATCTTGTTTCATTTGTTGGTGCTGCTGTTGTTGTTGTTGCTGTTGCTGTTGTTATTGTTGTTGTTGTAGTTGTTGTTATTGTTGTTGTTGTTGCGTTAAGTGTTGTTGTTGAGTTTATTTAGTGGAAGAGGTACGTGTTGTTTGGCCAAGTGTTTGTATCTTTTTTTTTTTTTTTAATTTGGTCTATATTACTGTCATGTTGGTTGATTTAGAAGCACGTTTACAGCTGGTTAAGATTGTATGACATTTTTAGAAAATTAATGCAATTGTGATAACATCTTGTGATTTGGATAATGACAATAACAATCATCCTTCACAATTACTCTTGTTCCTGGAGCTGTTTTTATTTTTTCTAGTTGACTTTTTAAAAGTTTTGTTTGTATGTTTTAATATATTTTAGAAGAAAAATCAACTTGCATTTTGTCATTAAGAGATAATGGATATTAATTAAGAAACTTAAATCCAGCAACACAAGAATTGTATCAAAATTTAGAGGGACCCAAAACTCTCCACGTCACACTTTGTACTTTCTGTACTGGGTGACCAATATGATACATGTATTATACCAAAATGATACATGTTTTATACCAAAATGATACATTATGTATTATACCAATATGATACATTATGTATTATGTATACTACAAAAACTGTTATAACATACTTCTCATAATATTGTTTTTTGAGCGTTACGACAATAATTGATCAGTTGTGTTGTGAGCGTGGGGAATTGTTGTTTGTTATAATCTCATAATAATTGTTCCATTGTTGTATTCCTTCCTGCCATTGTCTGCCAGGAAGACAGGACAAAAAATGTTTCCCCTCGTCGATTACGTCACAGTCATTTTTACAATTTTCGCTACCCTAGAATTACAAAGTTATCTGGTCACTTTTAACTCATTGAAGACGCGCTTTCTGGTCATTCGTCAACGCTTAGAGATGCTCTCTTTTGGTGCATAACTTCATCGGCAAAACATATTTTTCTATTTTATTTTCTTTATCTGAAACATTAAAAGGCTTAAAATAGTGTGCGTGCTGTGAAATATGCAAAATTATTTTTCTGATTTGTGTATGATGGTTCAAAATGTGCCAAAATTTTGACTTTTCTCTGCAAATAATCGGACATAATATGTGTCCGTTACGTCCCCAAAGAGTTAAGGACACTTTTAAGGACAAGTGGCCTAACCCAGATTCCCGGGGGTTTCCAGAAATCTTGACCTACACCAAAAGTGGGCATTGCCCTACCTATAGGAGAAGTTTGGTTTCATTGGTGTGTATATTTGTTTGGTTATAGAGAAAACTCTCTTTGTCTTTTAAAGAAGCTGAACAAGGGGCAAAAACTTTACCTTTGATTTTCTCAAAACAGCAGTTATCGGGATAGCCCCATTGTGCTTAACCCATTCACTGCTGAAAAGTTTCCATCATTAAATAAAGTGTTAATTCAAGAAATATTTAAACACAGAGAATTGTTTCAGAATAAGCAAAATCACAAGATGTAACTATAGCAACTAAGACTTCTTTCTCATCAAGATGAAACAATACAAGTAAGTGGAGAATACAAGCCATAACAAACGTCTACTCAGCAGTGAAGAGGTTAAAAGCGACCATATCTGCTCAGTACCAAGTTTTGATAAATTTGTCGTCAAATATGTTAAGTTTAACAGCAGGTCAAACTTTTTCGTATGCAATTCGTTGAGTATCTTGAAAACTACTTCGAATAATTTTACGACTTGCATAGAACAGACAAAAACATTAATTGTTTCTGACCTCTTGGTCTTAGTAACTCAAAACGGCCAAAAATGTCAGATAGAACTTTGTCATTCTAATGTGGCAAAATGCCTATAGGGTTGTTTTTTTCAGTGTTTAACTTTTGCTTTGGTACGAGTACAAGATAGTTATTGTTTAAAATCCTTGATATAGAATTGTTTTGTTTTGTTTACTTCAAATGGTTCCCTGTTGCTCTGGCATTAAGTTGGTTTAATTAAGTGAGCAAGATTTTTATAGTTTGTATGTTGTTGATTGGGGGTTTGTGTGTGTGTGGG